TCCATCGTGTTGTTCCCTTTTTCGTTTTCCCCGCCTCTCTTTCCCTCACCGTTTTTCCCCCAGTTTTTATTTCCACGCGAACGACAACACGCCGGGCTCGTCATAAACGCGCCACGATTAATCGCCCTGGCGAATTTCGCGGTGGCGGAGGGTGGAAACAACCCACTCCCGGTGGCTGGCTCCGCTTTTATAAACGCGATCAGGCACGAAATTGTGCCGCAGAAATACGATCGTGTAAACAGCTTCTGACACGTCCGCTATCGAAATTTTACCATGGACGCCTGGCCCCCGCGCGTCCGCGTTTCTCGTAACTCGTTGCGTGCGCGCGTGGAAATGCGCGATTCCGCGCCGGATATCGCCGCGAGTCTGTCCAACCACCCCTCCGTGTTCAACCCCCTGCTTCGCCAACTCGTTCGATGGAAATTCGTTCGTTCGCGTTAATAACGATTCTTATTATTTATCGCGGTGCCGTTTAAATGCATCGCCATGCACTTTCGTTTACATTGCCCGTGTAAATCTTTCGCGGCAACGAATGGACGCGCGAGCACGCTCCACGCGATGAAATAATTTTCTCGAATAAAACGCGAAATTATTTCGCGAGCTATTTTTCCAACACCCCCTCCGCGCTTTTGTGCGCGGAATGATAAATAGAATCGATTCGCGGAAAACGTGTATAATTGCATTTTAAATGTTTCCAGCGAATACGGAAACACCTCTATTTACGCCTATTTGTTTCGAATTAATATGTTTGCTCGTTTTTATGAAATTCTCTTGTTAATTTTATATTTTCAATAATGCGTTGGAACAAATTTTTTGGACGAAAGCGCTTTGCAAATTCGGACGCCGATAACAGGGATCGTAAAGTGCAACGAGCGTTGCAGGTGCACGATTTTATTTACGAAAAGAGTCTCGTCGTAAAAAAGATAGACCTTGTTCTATTTAGTCAACGTCTTTCTCCGTGGCTTTTTCCGCGCTCCGACAAAACGGACGATACGACTCGACCCAATTACGTGACACACTCTGTACCCGCTTCCGAGGCTCTTGGAAATCAGCCCGGGACGACTAATTGTTGCAATAACCTATGGTCGTGGCCAGACGCGCGAGGACAGCTGTCCGAGAGTCTTGGCTCGTATCCTCGTCGGCAAAAAATGATCTTCTAAACGCTCGTTCTCGCTAGAATCCGTGGAATGCGATGCTCGAGCGATACTCCCGCTCGACAGGAAAAATTATTACATTGTTTCGAACGCAAGCATCCACGACGGAGGACACGTTACGCGGTTCACTGCGCGCAATCTTTCGCGACGATCCTCGAGCGTCGTTGAGCACGAGAACTGTGTCTGTGCCATACTAATTTCCATCGAACATTTTCCGTGCACTTTACAATTTATAATTTTTTCGATCCAATTTTATTTTATTTATAAAAATCTACTCGACCGATTGGCTTAAAATTGTAGGTGCGCGTTCGATATACGTACGACTATGATAGAATTATTTTCATTTTTCATATTTCTTTAGACCCCTGAAATAAAAAAAAAAAAAGAATTGATAATCAAACTTAAAAGCGTCGCTATTTTTTTAATTATCGACTTTTTTGTTCTGCTACCGGTTATGGCCAAAGTTGTACTAATTAAGAATCATTCACGTTTTTATCATTTCAAAGAGTGAATCGTAGACGACCTTTTTGAAAAGCAACTATGTTCGATTGTGTTTGAGGGGGCGCAGTGCCACTGATTTTAACTTTTTTTCGAACAGAAAAAATTGTAAAATGTCACTGAAACACGTATCAATAAACCTTGTACATTTGACTTGCAAAAGGTGTTACAGTTCATTAGCAAAAAATTCCCCGAGGAAGTGTGAAAGCGATTAACACTTTTACTGCCACGTCAGTCATATATGAGTGTCAGGACTTTTCATTGACGAACTGAAAGAATAAATTCTCAAGTTAAAGGTTTGATATTTCCTATACAGGGTGAGGCACGAACTAGTTCACGATTTTTCAGTCCCCTTCGATAGTCTGAGAAAAAAATGTTTCCTATCGAAATTAATCAGTATTTAACCGACAAGAAATTGCAGTTACTTTAATATTGCGAAAGCTTCAGAGATAATAGATTGTTTTATTACGCTAAAAAAAATTCCCAAGTCTAAAGGTATATATCCCCCCTTAAGACGCCACGATTCGCGTCGAAAATAACGCTCGAAGCGTGTGTCCCCGCGTAAATCTCGCGAGGATTTATCGAACGTGTAACACGGCGATGAAGAAAAAGAAATGGCCGCGCCTCCTGTCTTTTCCCGCGCGTCCGCGTGTTCCTCGGCGCAAAACTCGGTGGGCTCGTTCCATTCTGGACGCGCTCAGCCGTCGGCTAATTTATGAATCGTCCCGCGCGGCGTTTCAACTCCGCCTCTGGCCGTCTGTCTGCCGAGGGTTTCCCCGGCGAAGCCCGATTTACGATTTGAGGGGTGCATCCGACCGGAACGGCGCGCGAGAAGAGGCGGCAAAAGGATGAAAAAAGGTGTAGGGGGTGGAGAAGGGTGGAGGAGGGGGCCGACGGAAGAGGAGGAAATAACGGGGCCCGGCTGCTAAATATTCAATAAACGCGAACATTATTCCCGTCACGTCGACGTCGGAAGCCCGGCTTCGCGGAAGAACGCGGCCGAAGGAGCCAAGGAGGATAAAAGTCGTAAAGGAGCTAACGGAGAGAGGAGGGGGGAATAAGGGTTCTGACGAGAGAGAAAAGTGGTAGAATGATGCCCCGGAGTAAGAAGGAAAAAGCTGGCAATTTATCCCGTCGAGTCGTGAGAATTCGCGATCGAGATTCCGGGATGGGATGATAGGGTTCTGGCCGTGTCGGGCTTCCACTACTTTTCCGTTTTATTCGCCATATCTGGCCGGAACTGTCTATAACCGGGGCCGCGAGGCGAGGACCGTAAGAAAACCGTACGGGCTACGCGCAAGAACCGATGTCTGTTAAAAGATCAACGCGAAGGCGCAAGACATAAAGCGTTTCCGAACGGTTACGCCGCGTCGTTCCAGCGACTCGATAAATTTTCATGATCGGGTACGACCCCCGTAAATGAATCGCGCCGGGCAAAAACCGACGAAGACGTGCACGGTAATTGACGACGTTAATGTCCGGAATGTCGTAAAGGCGAGCGCGAAATGAAATACGACGTTTCCCTTCTGGTTTCGAGCGGTTCCGCTTTTGGTCCGCCTCGCCGCCAACAAATTATACCCCCCTCCGATCGGACCGCGCGCTGTTTTTCATTCCGCCTCACTGTCCCCCGTTTTTCTGCCCGACGGCCGTGGAGAAAAATCGGTATTTACAACGACAGCGATCGAAAGCGGACAAGCGACGAGAAAACCGAAAAATTCAAATTCGAACCGATTCGAACCGGATGAATATGGATGGTTACGCGAGAGGAAAAAAAAATACGCGTCCGACGGCGACGCGATCTTTGCGATGCTAATTCCGCGGCGATCATTGTTTTTATTAATATCGAGGTTCATTTTCGATTCGCGGTATCAAAGGACCCGTCCACCGATTCTATTTCTGTACGGATCGCCCCGGACCATTAAGGGAAGAAGCATTACCCGGGAATGCATCGGCAACTTTACGCCATTTTTCTCTCGGCTCGCGCGACAAATCCTGTTAAAATATAGCGAGCAATAGGGAACGAGGGGCCGCGATGTAATTCACTCGCCTCGAAGAGCTCGAGAATTTCGGTTCAACAATCCCTATCGACTCGTTTAATGTATCGGTGCGTAGATGTACAGCCACGTTTCGATGAAATTTGGCACACTCGTGATGCGATCAAAAATTACTGTCCGCGTTGAAGGGATGAAATTGATCCCTTGAAGCGGGGGCGAATATCTCGCAAACTATTAGAAATATAGGAAACGGATGGATTTTGTATTCTTTTATGACAAATTGTTAAAAAATTTGTTTAACTTACAGAGGGACAAACGAGTTTGAGAAGGATAGGTTCTAGTAGAAAACTCGGGACGGCCTAATATTTTCGACAGAACATCTAACTGTAGAGGATGACCCTGTGATTCGGGGAAGCAATAAAATAAACGATAGCCACAGGTTAACGATAATAAACGTATTTAGACGTTACTGGTTCGGTGACCCTTCTCTCGTGTCCTCTCCAGGGAGTCTTCTACTGTAAACTGCCAAAAAATTCGACATTTTTTTTTTGCATTTTCTTAAAAAATATAGTCTTAGACATATATGTGCAAAAGTATCAAAATGCTGCCATTTTTTTCTGTTCTCTTAGTACCGGAAATCTTTCTCATTTTTTTGACTTATTACGTTGTAATGAATTTTGTGCTTTATATTTGTGCATTTTAATAAACAAATTTGCAAAAAGTTTCGCCGACAGAGAAGAAACTAGTTTTTGCGAACCGTGCGGACGCAAAAGTGTTAAGAGACTGAATGTCATTTCATATTGAAATTAAGAAACCCTTCGGTTCCGGGTGTCATCCGATCTCACGCGACCGTCGAAGCGCCCGAAATACGCTGAATAATTCCTAATAAGAGCCTCTCGTCCCCGTTGCGATTGCTGATTCTCTATCCGAAAGACGGCGGGAAGAAGTTCGGGGACCTCCCTACCGTGCAATTTGCATGTTATTACCTTGTTTACATATTTATTCAATAGCCAGGGATCCCCCAACGCGGGAATGGCCTCCCTAATCCCGGGCCGCCTCCCTTTAATTTCAAATTAAGGGCCACGCGCGAAACCAGCCGGTCGAGCGATTAGTAAGTCGCCGCACGGATATTGCTCGCGCGCCGTCGCGTCATGAATGAAAACATAAATTCCAACGGACACGTCGGGGGTTATCGCGCGTTAAGTCAACGAAGTAATTGCTATACCGGTGCGCTCGAACTACCGGTACACGTGCGCGCGCACAATGCTCGCTGCAACACGCGTACCAACTTCCATCGTCGCGCTCTTCGTTCGATGATGTTCATTTGAATTTCAAATTAACGTAAAAGGCTTACCTGTTTATGCATTTCCACGTTCAGGCCGTAGGACATCTCGTAATACTGCGAGCATGAAAAAAGAAAGAAGAACGATATATTAGACGGGGGAGACATAAAATGCCGCGCAAGGATATATAAAGAAGCGTGCTGGCGCACAACCGTTAACGCGACGATGCTTGCGTAATACCCGATCGAAGTTACAACCCGTGCGTATACGCGATCTGTCTCGTAATACACCGACAATTATGCGACGTTTTGCCCAAAAATGCAACTCGAGACAAACATAGACTTTTGAACGTCCATTGATACTGGGTTTATGTTAATTTCACGGGTTTCGGACTCAACATTACGGAACTTATAAACATTATTTGTTAGAAATTTATGTTGAATTTGAAAGAAAAACTACATTTTAATGCAATCGTCGACGCACTGATTCGAGGTGATTATTATTAAATTATTACGATATTAAAAGTTATTAAAATCAGGATCGTAAAATGTTCGAGGATGTAACCAACGAGAAATCAGGGTTACTATGTTTAACACTAAACCTACGATGACCGGTCAAGTGACATTTTTATTTTTTACATTTACATCTTTTTGTAAAAAAAAAAAAAAAAAAACGGATAAAATTTGGTATCAAACTTTGATTAGCTTCCGATGTAAATAGGAAATATACATATAGCAAAAATGAAAGGAGAGAATCTTGAGCTTCCACTGTCTTGGAACAGTTTAACAACGCGTATTGAAAGTACTAAAACTTTAGACGCGCGTAATTCCGAAGATATTAGTGTTTTATCCATAACTGAACCACTGTTACACGCGGTAAAGCTTCCCCTTTAAAATGGGTTTTGGTTTTTGGCGATCTGACTTCCGGTTTTCGAGATATCATAATTTATATAAAGGGGTAATTTTTCTAATTCGACTATCTCTGTCTCCGTCTGACGCGTCGCGCCGAACCTCTTTTTCTCGTACGTGACTCGTGGCCGAGTGACCTAATTACTACGAACACGTGCCGGTCAACGACCTTCACACGGTCGTAGTAAAACAGTAAACAAACGCTTCGGACCCTTATATCTTCGGAACTAGCCACCGCATCGACTTGAAACTAAAATCCTCATATCTCCGGAACTAATAAAGCTATCGACTTGTTCGAACGCTCATTTTAAAGGGCATTTCATCCTCTATCCAATGACTGTACCAGCTACTATAATTCTTGCTGTCTTTTATGTTTATTTTCACATTTACTTTGACACTATGCATCCAAAGAAGTTTCAGTAATTTCTATTGACTATACGACCGGTGTGCGATAAACTTCGATTACAAATTGTTCATTTAATTGAAAATAAATTTAAATTCGATATACGCGAGGTGTCGGTAGGTTTAGCGTAAAGATTGATTCAAGTTCGCGTTGTAGGGACGGGAGTCCGTTCGTCACGGTACAAGTGGAGATCAACCATAATCGACCGCAGAAAGAAACGGTTTTCAACCTCGGACACCGGCAGCCGAGAGCAGCAGTCTTGTTCTCTCCTCCTTTTTGTCCCGTCGCTTACCGTTTCGGTCGGCTGTAATTGAATTTACCGACGACATCGATCTCGGACCCGGGGTACGTTTGCATGCGGCGCAAAGAGACCCCGGTGATTGAGACGATCGAGATAAACCGAATTTGTGCCAAGAGTGGGACGATAAATTATTTCGGGCGCGCGCAACAGCCCGAGCCCCGATCGGGAGGGAACAGATAAGCTTGCTCGAATGTACTCAGGTGCAACTTATTATGCAACGCGCGATTCGATTGCACCTGACCGCTCGAATCGCCCGGGGAGTCGCGGTCGGCGATCCCCGACGATCGATTCTCTCCCGGATAATCAAACACGAGCCGCATTAACGCCGACCATTATATAAGTAATACGCCTGCTATGCGCCACGTAACTTCAAATTTCATCGTACACGCCAGACATTTTCCACGATCGCAGTAATTCGCGAGGCGTGTTTGCAAACGATCATTCTATCTTAGATCCACAGGAAATAGCATCGATGCGCTATCTAAACCAGAATAATTGGATAAACGTTTCAATTTTTCTTCTTTTCGGTAGAAAGATTTTTCATGCCACTGTGTAATTGTAAATGTCTATATTTGGTTTTTTTCAAATAATTCTTTAACCAGTTAACTGTGATTGACGAGTATACTCGTCAATACACAAAATCGTGCCACTTCTCCATGCGTATAAAGTAGTTACCATTGGCTATTTAAATTGTAATTTTTCAGAAAAACAAAACATATTTTCAAATTTCAAGATGTTAGAATATTTTGAGGCCATGGCGGAATAAAACAAACTAATAAAAAATATAAATAATTTGAGATGAACTCATGCGTCCCCGTATGCACCGGCTGAAACAGCTTACCAGTTCGCAAAACGAATTTATTTATGTGCAATGATAACGTTTTTTAGATGTTAGCCTAAAAGGGGCAAAGGCAAAAGTCAGAAAGTTGATTTATAATAGGGTTCCTTCAGGTATGGTCAGTCATGGGACAAATGCGTGACGTCGACCAGGCGCTGAGCGGTTCTTAGACATTATTTGTCTGAATGCATTTATATTATATAACAAAAATAATGGAACATTATCGCGAATCAACTACTTGCTAGAATTTATTGCAGACACTCTTGCGACGTATCCAATTCAAAGAGAAAAATCGACACAAACTCGGCCATTTAGCCCTAATGATAAGCCAATTAGGCGGGAATCATGTTCCGAATTATATACCCGGAACTTCAAAAACAAACAACCCTACGCGAAGGTGTTCACACTGCTATAAACGTAAGATCAGGAAGAAATCGCGTTACTGATGTTCCATTTGTAAAGTCCCATTGTGTATAGTACCCTGTTTCGCTGAATACCATTCCACAGCAAGAATTTAAATTCTTGCTTTTATATGTATAATATTTAGTTTTTATTGCGTTTTTAGTTTAATATGTATGTAATATATGTGTATGTTAACCAAATAAGTAAATATTAGTAATAACATTATCTATTTTATAAAATAAACCCATCCTTTTGATCCAATATCTTACCAGTGCAACTTACTCTCTGATTGACGAGTATACTCGTCATGGCTCGATTCTGGCGATACAAAACGGTGCGCGCTCTCAAACGAGCGTGCCACAGTTAACTGGTTAAACGTATACTGTTTAATTTTGTTTAAATTTGTTCGTAGAAGGAATGGCCACGAAAAAGAATAGAAAATGTGTAATATGTAAGGCTCGATGACGACTGAATAGCATCACGATTGTGAAACTTGACATCAAGAATTTGTGTCAGGCTCGTTATTGTACGACAAAGGGTTAAACTTCGTTTGCTTTTCATTTTTATGTCTTTAAATTGATCGATTTCAATTCTTTTGTACGGATACCCAGAATTTATTTGCACGGAAACCGTAGCGGAAGGATTCCCACCGCAGACCGCAGAGGATGAAATAATGGAGAAATAGATTTTTCGTACCGCATAAAATCGACTACCCCCGTTCAACGTCCGATACGTCTGGAAAAAGGGAGATCGTAGGCAGTCGGTTAAGCCGAGCAGAAAGGCTCCCAAGGGCTAATCGAATTATCGAGTTACCTAAACCGAGATGCCGCTCGAATTCGTAATAACGTCTAAAAGAACCCTTCGGAGAGGGTCTTTAGGGGCCCCGGTACACGGCTGCCGAGAGCCGAGATTACATCGATCGAACGAGATTACGAAAACCGGGCCAAATTGAGCCGTAATGCGAGATCTCGGCCAAGGAGGAGGATAAACGCCCGAAGAAAATGAGAAAAACGAAAAGGCAATCGCTCTACCCTCCACGCGTTCCGTTCGATCCACGAGTGTAAGAACGGTCGTGTGTGCCGTGCGTGTACGCGACGTCCAAGACCGGTTTCTCGTAACATCGTTTCTACATCGTGTGTACAAGATCCCGTCCCGAGTATGCTTTAACTAATTCACCTACCGAACAATGGTTCTCAACTGCCGTTTCGACACCGACCAGCAAAACGAACATCAAAATAATAATAACAAATTTATTTATTCACGTAGCTTCCCTTTCGGGGAAAATCGATTTTGAAAATATCCGAATCACAATTGACTTAGTTAAAACTAAATGCTCCGCTTACACTTGCAGATAAATAGTTTCCGCTAGCTATTAAATAAAGAAAAAATAATTCGGGTATTGTACTCGAGTTGGAAATACGAGCTTGTCTACTTAAGAGTTTGACTACTCGATCCGCCGTACGAGGGGATCGGAGAACGCCATATAAGCGACGGGGTGCAAACAATGCTTCCTTTGCAGAATCGCGAGCCTTCAAAGTCGCGTCTACGGAGAAAAATTCTTCGAGTGTTTGGAATCGTGGGAATCGCGGAGATTTTGCAGACTGGCGACTGGATCTTCTATAAAAGGAACTCTTCGAGCATATTCGAGGAACGAAAAACTTCAGACGCCCGAGATCCGCAGAACATACAAGGAAGCTAGTTCAAAAGCCCCTGTATGCAACTTTCAAGGATTTAGGTTGCAAGGAAGAAAGAGCCGGTTGGGAATATACGTTTTTCAATCCTTTCAGTGACCAGAACACCCTTCGAGCTCGGTCAAGTATTTTAAAAGCGTCCTATAAAAGATTTACTCCGGACCTCTTGACTCGTCGATATCCATCTCGCGACGTTCGACGCAATATTTATGGAACACTTTCACCCTCTTCGATAGAATCAACGCGTTCTAATAATGTTTACGTCTTTCGACACTCGTACAGTTTTCGATTGTCGATTTTCAAACGATTCGTGGAAATTTGTACGCGTGCAATAATTGGACCGTTTATTTTGAAAGTGGTGTAAGCCCATTTTCTCTTGTTTCGAGAAAATTAAAGGTTAACATATCTGTTAATTAAAAAATTTAGGCAAATTATATGAAGTCTGGCAATGTTTCTATTGTTTTATCAATATGTAATTTGGTTATATAAATTTGTTTTAGGCGTATTTTACTAAACTGATGTATATTTACGGGCTGCAAATGGACTTACACCACTTTCAAAATTAGACAATTG